CTTGCACCTGTTGTGCTACGAGTTGCTTCCATTGCATATTTAATGCCATTGGACCAGTTAGTGATCTCTTCAAACAGGTTAAATTATACGTCATTAACGACTATACGTTTACATTCCGACAATAACCTTCAAATCATGACGCCGAAGACCCGGGTTCGAATCCCCACATGGGTATAAGGTGTACAGCCCATTTCTGCTGTCCCCCGCCGTGATGTTGCTGGAATATTGCTAAAAGCGGCGTAAAACCAAACTCAGTCAGTCCGTCAGTTAAATCATTACGTCGAGATGTTTAAAAGTTGGAAGAAGCATACCAGAAATTACGTTTTGGCTATATTCCGATGGTAATGTGTCAGAGAGAAATGCCTTTTGTTTATATTTATTTTATTTTTACTTTGCACGCGGTTTTGTAAAGTTACCGATTCTTGCATGCGTGTGCTGTTTCAAGGGGTCCAACCTTTCAGTTCTGGGTCACCCTAAAGCTACAGACTCTAGCGATAGACGGTGGTTGGGAAGTATTTCCTACTCATAAAGGTTCCTGCTTGCAGGCTCCAGTATGCATCCTGCTACGATTGCTGTAATTGCTGTTGTGGGACTTTGCTTCATTGGAATAATCTTCTTGGTTGCACTGTACTGCGTTAAAAAGAAAAAGCTGATGAAGGTAACACATAACCTTGATAGAGAAGTTGGCAGCTATAATAAAGATATACTTGCAGGGTCCTTGGTCCTGATAAACATCACTATTTGACAAGAAACTAACCTCCACTGACCGAAACTAACTAACCCCTTGACCAAAACCGATATTCTCGTACAGTTGTTAATATCATATGCATTCGATTAGTCACAGGCTACTATGCAATGTCTAACAATAGCCAAAAGAAAGCTTCAAAAAGAAGCGACACATTTGACAATGATTGACATTCTCCTACACTAAGATTTATCAAACATCAAGGATGCCATCTAACACAGCACTGATCCTTACTATGTATCACAACACTTTTTGTTGTTGTTGAAGCTTATGTTGAAAATGTGGTTTTGTGAGATACGAGTATGAACACACATGAGAAAACATTTTTGGGTATGCTTTACACGATTTATACATGATTGTATTTTATATTTCTTAAAGGCACAACAGCGAGGTTGCTGTACAGAAATGAGCCAGAATCAAAACCAGCCTTCTATATTTCGGACAGTTCTCTGTTTCTGCACAGACAGAAACACCAGCTCAACATGGGCCAGCCGAACCCGGGATCCTCCTCCGGTTCCCAGTGGTGAAGCACAACATGAAACTTATGAAACTGTTGGTCCTCTCTCATCAGCAATGTCTGTTCCCCTGCGGAGGTCGGAATTAACCCCTCTTCCTGAGATTCAACGCATGCCCCCGGTTAAGATGGCTGATAACAGGATAACACCTAGGTTAGATCCCCTCCTTTTAGGTCAGATTCCTCCAACATCGACATCGGCTGCTCCTCCGAAGCTGCCTCCAATTATACCCAGAGCGTCCTGGTGATGGAGATTCAAGCCACCAGATCTTGCTGACAGTGTATAGTACCATACATGTGATAGACAGACAATATTGTTCCGTGATGTATTTTTGGTATTGGAACCTGACGTACCTTTATTCGTTTGAAAATAATCATCGATTATCTATCTATCTATCTATCTAACGTGATCTATCTTCACTTGCTAGTGATCTCAAGCCCGTTTTTATATATTGTATTGTTCATAAAATGTGTTTAATTTTACAATTACATGCTAGTTTTAACTCTCTATCTGTGATAATCTAGTTATTTTACTGTCCTTCGTCGACAGGTTTTTTTATGATTTGATTGCATTTATTATGAATTTGTAATTGTTAAAGTCACGATATGGCTGAATATTGCCGATGTTACTTTAAATCGTAACTCACTCACTCACTCTCTCTCTCTATCTCTGTTTGTCTCTCTCTCTCTATCTCTGTCTGTCTGTCTTAAAACTTGCAAAGCGCTGATATCCAGGACAAAGAATTTCACTGATCAAGAGCTAAGTTGAAAAAGTGTGTTTTGAATGATGACTCCAACGGTCATCCTCAGTTGTATAAAAACATTACATTATTTTTGTTTGTGTAACAAAATGATCACCAAAGCACTTGTTTTATTCCAACCTTCGCGCTGGACGTATATGACATTCTTCTGTTGTTCAATGTTATATCAACATAGCCATTTAATGAATTCATCCAAAGTGATCATTGGATTCATGTTTGTGAAGTGTTTGTAACATATGATGTAACAGCAGTAGGAATCGTTTTTGGTTTTTTTAAGATTTATGGTGAATTTATTTAACATCTTGCAGATTTCAAAACCATTGTCCATTTTGTATATACTAGTATTCGTTGTTTATTACTTCAAACATTCCCCGCATAGTTCTACTATTTCTTTACTATAGCCTACCACTAACACTATTACTATTATGATCCTGAATAAACAACAGCTTTTGTATGTATTTCAATGTTACCGGGTCCCGATCTGCAAAGCGTTTGTAGCGTTACGACCTATCGTAACCCTTTACTTTATCAAGTGTCAAGCAAGTAGTGACAACGACATTAGAATCTATGTCGAAACGTCACCTATACAGAATGAAGAAGTTGTATATCCATAAAAATTGTCCTCATGCTTCATCTATCTCCTCAACTTCTAGAATACCAGTCAAAGAAATAATTCGTACCGTGACTCACACAACTGACGACTGCATTATATTCCAGAAAGCTCTTTACCTGGAAAACATCTTGACCTAAGAAACTAAGACTCTCTCGGGATGTGTTTAATGTTGGTAATGTCCCATCATCTGTACTATTGGCCTTGTAGCAAGACTGTGCGAATGAATTCCGTTCTGTTCCGTATATATTGAACTGTCGAACAAATGGTAAACACTTACCTTTGATGGTGGCTAGAAATGAATGAAACAAGCCGTTATTCGATGGTGGTATAACTGATATCGTACTTAGTAAACGTACATGTGTTGACAATAGTTCTAGGTTGTTGTTTTTTGTTTGTTTTTGTTTTGTTTGGTGTTTTTTTAACATTTTTGAAGTTGCCAGCCCTGATGTCTGGCAGGATTTGTGGCTTATTTCATACACTGCCTCAAGAAACATCTGTCCGAAGGAGTCGACTGTACGATACCGACTGTATCATGAACAAGACTTTTAGTGTTTATGAATCACCGTCAAACAGTGATATCGACATTCATGAAAAGGTGATCCGATCCTGTTTTTGTTTGTTTGTTGTTGAACGCAATATTCCAGCTATATGTCGGAGGTCTGGAAACAAACGAGTCTAACATTCAAGTGATCAACAGCATGAGCATCGATCTACGCAATTGTTATACGATAGCATGTGTCAACCAAGCGAGCCTGACTACCCGATCCCGTTAGTCGCCTCTTACGACAAGCATGGGTTCCTGAAAACCAGTTCTTCACGGGTCTCCTGTCCTGTCCCATGAGTGGCCCACGTCACAATCACATGCCAAGTCAAGTCAATCTAAATTGTATATGTCAACTGTATCATAGGCCTTATGGCCCAAATACTACTGAATAAACTTCTCTCTCTCAAGTCAGTTACGCACCTAGTTTCAATTCATCCGGGTAAACCAGTGGAAGATAATCCCTACTTGACTGCCATTGAACGATATTAGATCATCGTAGCTTGTGTTAAACCTCTCGACCTCCGGGGAGAAATCCATTCCTATGTCTATGCATACAAAACTGACCAACTAGAAGGGAAGCACATATACTGTTAACGCGTTTCTCAATTACTTTCGTTTCAGTTATTTATAAATTATTTGCAGATAAACAAACATGTGTGCACATTTATATGAATAGAGTAAAAAGTGTATAAACTAATAATCCTCACCTCACCTGTGTCGGTTCAGAGAGGGGGCGGTGGGGTAGCCTAGTTGGTAAAGCGTTGGCTCGTCACGCCGAAGACCCGGGTTCGATTCCCCACATGGGTACAATGTGTGAAGCCCATTTCTGGTGTCCCCCGCCGTGATATTGTTGGAATATTGCTACAAGCGGCGTAAAACCAAACTCGCTCGGTTCAGAGAAAAATTCCAAGAGCCTTAACAGCATGGTCACATGACCACCTGATCAAGCAATGACCTGAACATCTGTTTTTTTTCTCACAATTCACTGGTCTCAGCTTATGTTTGTCGGGTAGCTATGGCGTATATTGTCTTGGGATTCCTTTGTGTTTTAGTCGTTATTGGACCCGGTAAGTTGTCGGAATATTTTTCACTATAAGGTAATATGAAATCAGAAACACTGCATGTGGAATAGCAAATATTGTGTCACGCTTGTAGCCATATAGAACACATTCATTCCTTAAACGTAGATATGAGGCTCGCAGACTATGTCATAGGTCGGAACAAATAGGTGGGTGTTGTTAACATTTATATCGTAATTCTTAAAAGACAAGGACAGCATTAAGAATTTGTTTGTATCTATAAGTTTGAACGCCTATACTTGACAATGGGCTAAATAACTTGAATTGTATCAGGTGTGTGAAGTAAATGCATTTACACCCCGTGATGTTTCCTTCCATCAAATAGTTTGGTCCGATTGTCTCAATGGCTGGACAAAATTTGGAGACTCTTGCTACAGACTGTTCAGAGATTCCAAAAAGATTTGGCCGGAAGCAGTAGTAAGTATCGTCATTATCCACAATGCAATGTACAACTGTCTATAAAGATTTTTCAATGAACTATATACATGTATTTCTAATTTACGGCTCTTACAATCATTTTTGTTTCTTTTAATATTGTTTTACGCCGCTACCAGCAATATTCCAGCTATATTGCGGCGGTCTGTAATTTATCGAGTCAACATCATGAGCATCGTTCTCCGCAATTGGGATCCGATAACACATAGAGCAGACAAATCTGTACATGGACGTGAAATACATGTATCATTTTTGACGGTTGAATATCTATTATTCCATTCATTCATGATATGCACATGTCATTCCTTCATGCAAACATTTATTTCTGTTACACGAAAGTTTGAATGTGAAAAGGAGGATGCCTATCTGGCGTCAATAGAGACAGAGAGTGAAAGCAGAGACATCCATGCGCTGATGGAGGAGCTGAATGTCGCAGGTAGTTAATCATCACCTGTATATCTACCTTTCTGAATGTGGCAAGTAGCTACGTGACATTAAATTCATATAGAGGCCTTCAAAGTGAACTTAACTAAATGTTTTGTATATTCCATTACAAAAGCTGCCGCCGGGAAAATTAAATTATAAACAGAAATTCATTAAAAAAATTATATATTCGACATTTTCATGGTTGTTTCTTTAGAAACTCACTGTAATTATGTTTTAATATCCTACAGATACTGACAACGTGTGGATCGGCCTGTCAGATGTCCGAGAGGAGAATGTTTGGGTCTGGGAGGCAAGCAGATACCAAGCCACGTTCTTCGACTGGGGGTCAACTGAGCCCAACCAGTCGGGAACAACACAACAAGACTGTGTCATTCTGTACGGGAAACGCAAGCATACGTGGGCCGACGATCGATGTGAAATTAAGAACTTTTACCTTTGTGAAAGGCCGTAAGTAGTGCCGACATAAGTCAGAAACTTACTACAGCTGAAATACGAGATTAGGGACTCAAAGTGGACGAATGTATTTCTGTACTCGCCACTGACATTAAAAAAGAATCAGTTCCAAAACACCTATTTCAACTTGTACAAAATGACACTTTATGGTATGAAAGTATGCTATTTTCGTCTTTGAACACAGGCAAACTGTAGCGCAAATAGGGTTGGGCAACAAAGAGAAATTACCAGTCTTCCTATATGCGAGTGAAGTGAGCAAAGGTTGGCAACGTACTTCCCTCGCTTCGGTTCGAAAAATATTTTATTATCAAAATAAATTCCGCCACTATCAAATGTAGACACCCATTTCCTCACAGGGTTGTGCTCTCAGATGTTCAACCACATATTTAATAATTACTCACGTAAAACATATTTAATTCAACACTTTAAGCGCCACTCGTGCCATATCGAACCGTTCTTCGCCGCCATTACCCCTGCCAGCTTCTGTTTCAAAGGAGAGAAGGAACAAGAATAAGCAGAAATTAAAGGGAAATATAATGTTGCCTAATTTTACCATTCAACTGTTGGAGATTAGGTTTCTTTTCTGTCGTCGTTGTTGTTAGAAATTTCGTAATATTTATTCTACAAAAATCACTTCTGGCGTAGTGGGCGCATGAAGCAGGGGAGGTAACTATTTCCATATGGCGGACATGTGATTCAACAAGTATATTTAGATTTAAGTCCCCTGTTCCTTCACTCCGTTGAACCGGAAGCTGGCAGGGGTAATGGAGGCGAAGATCGGTTTGATATGGTACGAGTGGCGCTTAAAGTGCTGAATTAAATATGTTTTGAGTGAGTAATTATTAAATATGAGATTGAACATCTGAGAGCACAACCCTGTGAGGAAATGGGTGTCTACCTTTGATGGTGGTGGTATTTTATTTTGATATTAAAAATATTTTTCGAACCGAAGCGAGGGAAGTAGGTTGCCAACCTTTGCTCGTTTCGCTCGCATATAGGAAGACTGGTAATTTCTCTTTGTTGCGCAACCCTATTTGCGCTACAGTTTTGCCTGTGCTTAGAATCACCCATGCTCTTTTTTTAATTTCAGGTTACAAGCAAGTGCATCGGGATAATGTTTCATTTCCGGCACCAACGACGCGAGTGTATAACGTCATGCATTGGTTCACGTCGTTTCCGAAATACACTTTTACTGACTCAAGATTCTGTTTTCCTTGTATAGTTGATTACGTCTTACTACTTTATCAGTAGATATGGGTGTGTTTCCTGCACTGGACACCTACAAATTGAAACACCTTCAGCATATATTTGATACAGGGTGTGTACGTTTATCCCAGACACTGATGTGTGGACAAAAGTTTCCTGGATGCGAACATATTATCATTCCACTGCAAAACGAACAACAAGGACACTAATAGAAGATTAATCTATATAGATGATTGTTTCTGTCCATCTTATTGATTCTGTTTATCACACAGATGTGATTTACTAACTTGTATATTTATTGTTTGTGTATGAAGTAGTGATCGGACGGCTGCAACGCGCCGAAAGACTGTGGACTGTAGGCATGCCGGAATCTGGCATTTGTCAGCGTGCAGCTGCGCATATGTCGACGTTTCAAATTTGTGAAGCAGAACAGCTACCAACAAATTATTAACGATTGACCTCATATCGACATTTGATCAGACTACTGGATGCCCCAGTTATTGGTCGAGCTATTAGAAAGAGTCAACACGAAGTTCATTTCCATGCTCGATGTCCATGTGTTGAGTTGCCCCTTACAAACTGTGACGTTACCGCCAGATTAAGACAGCTTTGCTTTGTGTCCGTTAGGACGACCTTTAGCGCTAGGTGTGCTAAAGGTGCTGTCAGGCCTCGATTTGGGGAATTAGCTATAGGGAGCGAGCCTTGAAACAAGAAAGGAGGCAGAGCTGTGAGTTCCTGGGTTTATTCAAGCAAGTGTCTTGCATGACATTCAAATTACATCAATTCATACATAATAATGACATACAATAATAGAAATAGTAATCAATGATATCCTAATACAGTTTATATCTAAGTCAGGTAATACAAGCAATGTGTGGTACAACAGGGTATGTACGGTAACTGCTTACAGAAACATAATACAAATAATACAACATTTCCTTGAGTAACTACGGTACTGATAAATAACATAACCTGACGGATAAATTAATCATCAACAACAATTGCAAAGAACAAGTACTGAGTGGAGCGCCCAACAGTTTAATTACAGCATGTAGTGCCTAGTTCATTAACTGTTGTGCAGATTTATGACTATTACGTTATGTCGCGCCTAATGCGTTAACTACGGTACCCATTTATGACAATTACGGTATGTAGTGCCTATTGCGTTAACTACGGTAGGAATTTATGATTATTACGGTATGTTGCGCTTAATGTATTGACTACGGTAGGAATTTACGACTATTACGGTATGTCGCGCTTAATGCATTAACTACGGTAACGATTTATGACTAGTGTAAGTAAATTTCCGTTATCAACATACATGCCTTGAGCAAATACGGTAAACGGCGCGAAGTGCTCAGATTTGACATATACCATTTAACTCCGGTATTGACTGTACGCGTTCTAACTGTAATGTTAACATTTATTTTCTCAATACAATAATTTCAGTAGATACGGTAAGTGATATTAGAGAGATATAAAAGTGTTGTAAATACGGGGACAGAAGGCCTAGTTTTAGTTAGAGTACTACTACTTAAGCTTGTTTTATCATGAATTATTTGGGTGACTACGGTAAGTGTATTTCGACGGTGGTGTTGCTATTGGCAACGTGCAATTTCGACATATACGGAGTTAAGCCATGACCTAGAATATATGTAATGCTGTAGTGCTACATTTTTGTGCTTTACAAAACAAGACAGTAACTTAGTTAAATGAATATGTAATAATGTACTAGGACGGCGCTGTTGTCATTGGCTACGCGTATTTCTTAAATTACGGAGCTAAATAAATACGGAACGAAGACTGTAATTGCAAACTACACGGATTTGAATGTATATTTTCTGGTAATATGAAGAGTAGACAATACCATTTTCTACTGATTACGGTAATGTGATTCGCGTATAAACTGTTCTGTACGGTATACAACTGCACGCGGAACGGAACGTTTAATACATCATTATTCAAATACTTATAGTGTTGGTGAAATATCAAAACACAAATGTTGGCTGTTTACCTATCATGTGAGCGCGTATCTGAGGTAAATCTACACGAATATCATTTGATCGGCGGACTATCGTAAAATACATAAAACTTCGTCTTTGCTGGAAATGATTGTATAAACTCTCGGAACTGTTTTTGTGACTAAGCTACTAGAATCTAGGCTACTGAACGGGAATCTAACCTGCATATACAGATCTAACACGCAAACATGAATGAAACAAGACAAAGACTGGGGATCTACACATGTGTGTCGAAACATAGAAAAGAAATATTTGTTTGTACACGAAAGACATAAAACTTGAGGAGCCCACGACGCAATGTGCATAAATAAATATCCCTGGATAGTGCCTAAGAATTAATCGGTTATCTAGAACTAGCATTTGCAATGAAAAAGTGCTTCAATGTTGTAGGAATGTTTCTAACCTAACTCTAACATTTTCTAGACGATAATTACAAAGAAATAACAAGTTAAACATAAACAAGAATAAAGTTTAAATGTTTCTTACCTTGAAACAAGAAAGGAGGCAGAGCTGTGAGTTCCTGGGTTTATTCAAGCAAGTGTGCCTGAGATGGAAGAACCCAGATTTTTTTATAACCCACAGCTCTACTCGTTTGTCATTATCAAGTTTCTATAAAGTTGAAGTTTCCATATGCGTTATCTACCCTATGCTGACAAAGTATACTACACGAGGTAGGTGGTAAGAAGATGATTACCTAACAAGGTTTGATTTTCTTTATGGTGTAGCCACAGTCAGCTTGCGCCAGCTGCTTAACAAAATATCTGTCAGCGCTTGACCATGGCATTTACGACAGGATAAAGAGGATAGCATGATGGTAATCTCGATCTTGTTCAACAAAAGTTGATTTTCGATTACGACTTAGTTGGTGGTAGACATGCTCCTGCTGGGATGGGACTACTTATCTGTGCTTGACCAAGGGATGTACCCGAGAAGAAAGGCCGGAGCCGACACAGCTCAATAACTTCATCTTTGATTAATTAGTTTAAGGTTGGCGTGGACGCGTTTGCTAATTGCCTACTACTGCGCTTGCCATGCGGGGCTATAAACAAGACAGACTATGCACAGCGACTTGCACCTATACAGATTTCCTATGTTATGAATAATTTGTGAAAAATATAAAAATGTATGAAGAAATATATGCACTGTAATCTCCTAAATTTGATAATGATAATAAAACATCTTGGCTTCGACAGTCTTCCACATGTCACTGGCTTTTAATGTGATCATTCACTGGGTTTTTTCAAACGTTCCTATGTGCTGACTCGACAGATATACAACGCAGTTCTACATACACGTATACACATATCCATTTTATTCCTTTGGATTGCATATCATAAGTATGATCATGTAGAAATGAATCCTCGCAGTCCATGCATGGAGACTGGTTTCCTTTTCACATACTGCAACCCCGTAGTGACTCCAGAAAATAAGTCACGAAGGCTTTTATCCCAACGACATAGACAAGAGACTGGGGGTCATAGTTTATTTAAATGTTGTTGTGATATAGCGGAGACATTACTGACTGAGGGGTAAGACTGATGTGACATATATACTCCCGAAATGTGGTAGCATTACCAGCCGTGCATATATGTACCTCGTCATAAATATCGCACAACCCACTTTTTTTCACTAAGTAAAACGGAATCTTCAACTTCATAAACACGACGCTTAGAAAAGCACATTAAACTGTTTAGATGGCCTCATGTGAGCGTTCAGTCAGAAAATTGACAACACAAGACCGAATTTGAGCACTAATTGAGGGTTTAATTGTAGCAAACTAAAGTTCACAAATGTCGCCGTAAAATAAGATGAAATTAGTATGGCTGCCGAGGCCGTTACAGCAGACACACAACACAGTTCACATTTCATTAAGGTCGAACACACTAGTAAGGTCCACAATGACAGGCCAACTCAGTATCTGGTGTTACCGCCTCGCACTTGGATAACATTTTCTACACGCCGTCTCACGCTGGTCACCAGACGTCTGATTCTCTGTTGGGGTATCTGCTGCCACTCATCATGCAATGCATGGGTCAATTCCTGAACTGTATGGTCCCTTGCTCTCATACTACGTCCCAAAATGAAGAATAATGACAATTATTATGGATATACAACTTCTTTTATTCTGTGGAGGCGACGTTTCGGCATAGGTTCTAATGTCGTTGTCAAGCAAGTGGTGACATTAGAACCTATGTCGAAACGATAGCCTCCACAGAATAAAAGAAATGGTATATACATAATAATTGTCATTATTCTTCATCCACTCAACTTCTAAAATGACCATCAAAGAAGTACGTCCCAAAATGTCCCACAAATGCTCAATAGGATTCATGTCTGGACTTCTGGCTGACCATGGTAGTGTCTCAATGGCGTTGTGTTCGAGAAGCTGAACAACAGCTCGAGCACGATGTTGTCTGGCATTATCGTCCATGAAGACTGGACGTGTGGCGAGAGGATGGTTATCGAAATGAGGCACAACAGCACCGTCCAGGATCAAGTTCCGGTACCTCTGTCCATTTGGAGTTCCGGGAACTGTGACACAATGACAGATCCAACTCCAAATGAAACATCAGCTTGAATGTTCCTCTGATCATATGCTGTGCCTCTCGTGCCCTCCCGTCTGTGTGATGCAGCAAAAATCTGTTTTCATCGGACCAGTGGATCCGTCTCCATATGTCCTCAGGTTCCAGCGAGCACGTGCTTGGCACCAAGCTAAACAAGCATGGCGGTGCTCATTTGTGAGGAGTGGACGTCTGATTGGTCGTCTTGTTCTCAATCCTGCAGAATTTAGGCGTCGCCTGATGGTGCTGATGGATACTCTGTTGTATGGATGCCATCCATGTCGCAGCTATGTACAAGTAGACTTTAGGCTTCGTCTGGTTTGGCGTTCGAGAGCACGATCTTCCCTGTCATTGGTTTTTCTGGGACGTCCAGACGTCTGTGCATCCTTCACTTCACCGGAAGTA